CCCCAGGGGGCCGCGAGGAAGTGGGGCGACCCGGGCCGCGCCCGCCGACGGCTCTCTGCGCGGAGCGTGCTTCCGGCGGCGCTGGCTGCGGCGTGACTCAGTCCCCAAGGCTGGGCCCAGGCGCCTCTACAGCCTTTCCCTTTCGTGATTCATCAAGTCAGTAGGTTTCCTGGGAGCCAGGGTGCCCGCTGGGTGTAGCCGCGTGGGGTGGGTGCTCCCCAACAGAACCCAGCGCGTGATTCTGTCCTTTTAAAAATGCCCAAGGGAAAAAGTGTTCCCATATTGGAAACTTGCAGTGAGCCTCATAATACTCTCCAGATTGGGAAACACTGCCTGCTGTAGCCGCTTAGGAAATGTCTGTTAAAGGCGAGTCAGAAAGTGGGTTGGGGGGAGATGGATAGAAGGCCACTAGCAAGTGCGTACGGTGCAACACCCTCCACCCCTCCCGCAGGTCTTGAGCACCTGTTTGAAGCGGGACCTGGTGGCGCATGCCTGTAATCCCATCATTCAGGAGGCTGAGGCAGGAGGATCCCTGCAAGTTCGAGACCAGCCTGGGCTACAAAGTGAACTCAAGGCCAGCCTGAACTGCATAGCAAGACCCTGTCTCAAAAAGACAAGGGGAAAAAAAAAAAAAAAAAAAAAGAGCACCTGTTTGGTGCTGGATTGGCCTCAGAAACAAATAATGTTACAGTTTGTAGTGGTACAAGATCTTTTGTTACTTTATTATTCAATTTTTTTCTCATATATTGCCGTCATCTGCTATCTTGTTCTTGATCAGGTTTTCTGATTAGAGTCCTCATTTATTCATTTATTTTTGTCTTTTGGAGACAAGAGTCTCGCTATGGAGTTCAGGCTGGCCTTGAGCGCACCTTGTAGCCCAGGCTGGCCTGGAACTCACAAGGATCCTCCTGCCTCAGCCTCCAGGGTGCTGGGATTACAGGCACATTGGCCACCACTCCCGGCTAGAGTCCTCATTTAATTGTGTGACCTTTATATTACAAATAGCCATCGCATTTGTGGCAGGGAGATCCTTATTTTGTTCCATGTCCATTTTTTTTCAACACCTACTTTGTGTCTGGGGAAGATGAGGGTGGGGTTCTGTTCTTGAGTGTCACAAAACCACATCAGAGTAAGGCAGCTGGTGAGAGAGAACCCAGTAAAGCATCCAGAATACCTTCGAGTGGCAATTTGCCCAGAATGCATCCACTGCAAACAGGAAGTTGGTTGGTTCCTAGGGCACACTTCCCTGTCTGAGTTACAGTTATGACACCTTCCTTCTCCAGGAAGAAAGGTGTGCAGGGGTGATGGAAAATGCGTTATTCAAAACAGTACCACACCTTGGGCCCCAGAGGCCCTGGGGGGTATTCAGCTGATCTTGTGATCCAGAGTGATCAATCTGAAGTTAACTAATCTGGTTATTTGTATATGTTAGACATACTTAATTTTCATCCTGATGGTCTAAAGGTGGTGCCATTAGGCATCTAAAATAATTGTTTTTGAAGCACTGCATGGGGCTCTGAGATCTGTCCCAGACATGAGTGGAATAATGGCCTGAAAGAAGAAATCAACAGTTGACAGCTACAGTTACCCCACTTACTGAAGTACTACTCACGCCGCACTTGGCTAAGTAATAACTCATGGTTATTACCCTTGGGTTGGATGTGTTTAGGAAGTTTGCTGCTATTTTTTTGTTTTGTTTTGTCTTTTTGAGACAGGGTCTCACTATGTAGTTTGGGCTGGCCTTGAGCTCACTTTCCAGACCAGGCTGGTCTCAAACTCGCAAAGATCCTTCTGCCTCAGCCTCCCAAATGCTGGGATTAAGGTGTGGGCCGCCACGCCCGGCTGTTGCTCTTTTTATCCACCCTAGTTGTGCTTTGTTTACAGATTATTTGTTTGTAATAGGGGTATTTTATCAATTCTGATCCTTAGTTTCTGGGAGTTACATATTGAGATTGGCTTCTTGTTTTTCTTTTTTTGTTCTCCGAGTACTGGAGATTCAACACCGGGCCTTTGCACTGAGCTATGTCTCCCGCCCGCCCCCCTTTTTTAATTTGAGACAGGATCTTGTTCAGGTTGGGCTTGGCCTGGTGATCCTTCTGCCTCAGGCATGTGCAATCACGCTCGGCTGTGATTGGCGTCTTCTTAAGGTAACCTTGAATGATTTTCAAGCCAATATCTACAAATATTTTAGGCAAACCTAAGGAAGAGAATTTGTGTGTGAAATCTGCCCACACCTGGCTTTTACGCATACCGAGCCAAAAGTTATTGTTGCTTTCAGAATTTCAGGTAGTTTTGCTTAAATTTGATTCAGAACTGTTTTGAGGAAACCTTGAGGGTGTTTGAAATATTGTTCTTTCGCTAGTAGTGGTTGTTCATGCCTGTAATCGCAGCACTCTGGGAGGCTGAGGCAGGAGGATTGCTTTTGAAGCCAGTCTGGGCTACATAGTGAGTTCAAGGCCAGCTTGGATTACATAGCAAGCCCTGTCTCCAAAAACAAAGAAGAAAGAAAAAAAGAAAAAAAGAAACGCCTTTCCATCTTGTAAGTTAATCTGTTTAAGTTGTTGAGGGTCAGACATCTTCATAAAAAGAACATGTCAACCAGGCCAGACATTGTTACTCCCTGCTGTTTTTTCCATCTTACCTTAATTTTACAGTAGAGTATGGATGGATGATTAGACCTTCAAAACAGGAAAACTTTGAAATTCATCTGGAACAATCAGTAGTGGTTGGAAAAGTAACATCCATACTTCTAACTTGTTTTCTGCTGATCCCAACCCCACCCTGGCCCTCAACCCATATCTCCACACACAAAGGTGGGGTTGGTGGGCCTATATAACTGAAAATGTTATAGAAGTGTTCTCACCCTGGGCGTGGTGGTACATGCCTGTAATGCCAACACTCACAGGAGGCTGAGGCAGAAGCATCACCAGCCTGGGCTGCATGGGGAAACCCTATCTCCAAAAAACCAAAATTGCCAGGCATGGTGGCACACGCCTATATCCCAGCACTCAGGAGGCTGAGGCAGGAGGATTGTGGCAAGTTCGAGGCCAGCCTGGGCTACAAAATGAGCTCAAGGCCAGCCTGAACTACATATACCAAGACCCTGTCTCCAAAAAAAAAAGCTAAAAGGCACATCATACCATTTTTTTATCATTCTCGAGGATATGTACCACTTGTGAATGGTTCCCCCCCCAGAATATGAGGTAAAATTTAAAAAATCTAGAGAAATAAGTGTACTTTATGAAAACTCATATTAGTTTTTGGTTTTAGTGTGTTGCATGGTGTTTTATTTGCTTTCCTTTTACTGGACCAGGTCTAATATGGTTCTTAAATTCCAGAGTAAGGGGGAGTGTTAGGTTTTGTTTAAAGCAATTTGACCAACATTTTTCCCTGAAACAAAAACTGTAGACTTCAGACATAGATGTTTGTGTTTTTATCGTTGTGGTTCCTGTTTGGGTTTTGGTCACCACTTCATTGTGGTTAAAATGTGTCTCTTGTAACTTGACTATTAGGTCTACCATTGGTGAATAATTCAGGGTGTTTGGTGGTAAGGGATTTCTTGATATGTTCTGCTGAGAATTTCATTGAACGTGTATTCTGTATGCAAAATAGTATCTACAGAAAATTTCCTTCACAAAGCATTTACACTGTGGTTCATTCCGTAAACAGTGAGGGCAGTTTTGAGCCAAAGGACAAAAGTCAAAGGTGGGTTAGCGGTGCCATCTCAACCCTGCACTGTGCTTACATCAGTGTGATTGTCTGAGTATTAGAGGTCTGTTTTCTGAACTTCTTTTTCTCAGAGCAAGGGAGTGGATCAAATATTCCAAGTGTTTGGGGGAGGGGCAGGTAACATATTTCCCTTACTAAACGTATGTCTTTGTGACTTCAATTTCAGGGACCCCCATCAATTATAAGAATCCAGTGTCTACCATATACCTACATTTGATGTAGAAACATTTTCAATATAAATATCAATTTTTATTTTCCTTTCATTAGATCATAACTCAGGGAATTGATAAGATTTTATAAAATATTCATGAAGACGTGACTGTCCACACAATACACATATATCTTGTTTCATCTTATCAGGTATAACTACCAGTGGTGCCTAGGATTCCTTCAGACCTATTTGATTTGCTTTGTTTGGGGGTTTTTGGGTAAAAAGTAGGTTCTGTAAGGAGAACCTCTAGCTTGTGCTGTGTGTCATCTTATTGAGTCCCTAAGCTTTTAGAAATGATCTACTGTATTTAACACAAGGTTTTGTTCTGTCCGTTTTAGGAGGCCTTTCAGCAAGCCCTGGCTGCTGCAGGAGATAAACTGGTAGTAGTTGATTTCTCAGCCACGTGGTGTGGGCCTTGCAAAATGATCAAGCCTTTCTTTCATGTACGTATAACAGATTGTGTGATTTGGGGGGCGCTGGTCTCAAAGCTAAAAGGAAAAGATCATTTGGGGGGGTTTTGTTTTTGTTTTGTTAGATCATTGGTTGAAAATAATATATAATGGAGATGTGATACATGGAGCCCATTGAGGACAATTTTCAGAAGTTCATTTCTTTCATCTTAATTGGGTTTACCTTTTTTCAAGCTGAAATATGCCCAGTTTGAAATTCAGTGCTCATAGTCAATGTGCCAAAATACTTTGCACTAGGCAGAATTTGACTGAGAAAAGTGTATATTCCGTGTGCTTTTCTTGCCCCTAGTTTTCTATTGAGGAAGCTTGACTGTATTGATTGCCTTACCCGGTGCTAAATATTTTTGAATTTTGCATTTTAAATTTTCCAGTCCCTGTCTGAAAAATATTCCAACGTGTTGTTCCTTGAAGTAGATGTGGATGACTGTCAGGTATGTAGCTGAAAATTCAAGATACTCCTGATCCTTTCAAATTGAGCTTTGTGTCTGAATTGTACAGTGTTTTTCTCTCCTAAATACATCAGATAAAACTGGAACAGTAATCCTATCTATAAAGCATTCTGTTTCAGAAGAACAGATAATTGTGCCAATTACGGATTTAACCCTAGGTATCGGGAGCTGTGTACATCACATCCTAAAAAAAACAAGCATAAAAGTAGATGAGGTACAAGTGATAGAGGCCTCTGTAACTAGTCATTTCCATACCCGCCTAAACCGCTACGTCTACCATTTTGAAATGCTTAGTAAACAGAAATCACATTTGACTACAATAAATCCACAGATGGTATGACCAAATTGTGAGGCACTTTAAAGATTCTTTATGAACTTGTCATGGCACAGCGATGGGTATTTATAAGCCTATTCTAGTCTTGGTTGGTTTTAGTCAGTGGTGCCTCACAGACAGCTGGAATCCCCACATACTATGAGGCTGAGGCAGGAGGATTATAAGTTTTAGTCTTTTCTGGCCAATTTAGCCAGACCCTGTCTCAAAAAATTTTTCAAGCACGGATAGGGATATAGCTCAGTGGAAAGGCCCTGGGTTCTATCCTCAGTGCTATCAAAAAAAAAAAAAAGAAAAAAGGAAGAGAGGAAAGAAAAACCCATTTGCTTTAAACAGAAAGTACCTTAGAAAGCTGAGAATAATTGGCAGGAAATTCCAGGATGGTTTTATTTAACAAAATCCTGTCTTGCACTGGATATGTACAGTTCTGTGTGCTTTGCCAGTATTGACTCACTCAGTCCTTTGTCATCACCCCTGACTTAGAGGTGAGAAAACTTAAACAGAGATGGTTGTCCCTGGAGTCCCAGTGGTGACATGGCAGAGCGAGTGCTTAGCGTGAGGTAGCCCCACTCTGCTGCACTAACTCTTCCCCACTGCACTTCAGAGGATTCTGGCGTGCGGTGGACACAGAGCTGGTCCCGGCATGTGACCTCGCGTGTTACATAGCCCCCTGAACTGGGAGAGCTGCCCAGCATGCGGCATCTTGGGCCGCTTTCCAGATCAGTGAACATGTACGCGTAGGGTAGCGTGCTATGCAGCAAAGGTGCTCAACCTGGACTCCGCTCCTTTCTCTGCCTGCCCCATTAACCTCCCAGAGCTGCCAGTTGCTGAGTAAACATGGAATGCCCACCAACGGGGCTGCGGGCTCACTTAAAACTGGTACATGGCGGCCCGCTCTCAGCACGTGAGAGCCCCCCGGCACCAGATGCTGCTTGGCTCACTTCCTGACTGCGAGGAAGACACCTGCCTTGGTGCTGTCCTTTCTGGTCCATCCTTTCCTCCTACCCTGCTGGCTCCTGGTTAATCTTCACCTCGTGTGTTCTGCGTACCCTCTCCAGTTACCTCCTTGGTGCCCTAGGCGAGCTTTGTCTTTCTTTGCCCTCATGCTGTTCTTGGCCCCCCATTTTCCCATTGCATTTATGGTAGTGGAATGAGACAGATTCTAAACCCAGACCACTTGCTTTATTTCTAGTTCAGTGGAGGCTTGGTTAAGTCATTCATCTCTTCCATGCCTCAGTTTCATCCTCTGTAAAGTAGTTGCTAGTGTTGAGTGAGGTAACACGAAGTGATTAGAGCAATGCCTGCATGGAGTGAGTTCTCTGAAGTTAGGGTATTATTACGCAAGCTAAGCATTCCTAATCCAAAATCCAAAGTGCTCTGAAGTCAAAAACATTTTGAATGCTGAATTCATCCTTAGGGGTTAGCATTCAGGAGGCTGAGGCAGGAGGACCGCTTTGAGTTTGAGGCCAGCCTGAACTACATAGTGAGACCGTGTCTCAGAAAGACCAAAAAAAAGATTGAGCAGCATAGAGTGATCCCTAAATGTTGGAGCAGGAAGAAATTATCTTACAGGTATCATAGGTTCAAACAGACACTTAAAGGCCTACATGTATAAAAGTAACTCATAGGAAAGTGTGAGTACTGGGGAAATGATAGACTGAACATATTTCTTTGGCAGCCAACAGGGTATGATACTTTGTAAGTGAAAACAAGAGGCTAGGCATGGTGGTGCACCCCTGTAATCCCAGCACTCAGATGGCTGAGGCAGGAAGATCATTGCGAGTTCAAGGCCAGCCTGAGCTACAAAGTGAGCTCAAGGCCAGCCTGAACTGCATAGCGAGACCCTGGCTCAAAGAGAAAAAAAGAAAAGAAAAGAAGTAAATGAAAACAAGGAACAAAGTGATTTAGATTGGAATATTTTGTAACCTTTGGAAATGTCACACGTTTAGATTGTGAATAGGAGAGTCTAGAGTGAGTTAATACAAGTGGCAGGGGCCGGGGATTTTGCTCAGTGGGCAAGCATGAGGTCCTAAGCTCAATTCCAAGTACCAAAACAATAATTACACAGATGGCAAAAGCGTGCTTAAATTTATTTTGGCTCTGTGGAGTTTTAACCTAGAAATTAATAAAATTAAGTTATTTAACGTAAGGTAAATCTAGTCCTATTCTGTTTTCTAAGTAAAATCTGAGTTTGGGCAAAACTATGAAACTGCAGGGCTCTATAAAATATTTTAGTAGATGAGAATACTGTGTCCCTGGATATTTATTCAACTTTTTTTTTTTTTTTTTTTTTTTTGAGTCAGAGTCTTGCTATGCAGTTCAGGCTGGCCTTGAGTTCACTTTGTAGCCTAGGCTCTTCTCCTGTTCACAACAATCCTCCTGCCTCAGCCTCCTGGGTGCTGGTATTACAGGCATACACCACCACGCCCAGCCTAATTTTGTGGTTTTGTACCCAGAATATGTCAATCCCTAGAATAGAAAAGCCCAAGACCGGGCTTGGTGGTACACACCTCACTTGGGAGGCTGAGGCGCAGGAAGATTGCCCTAGGTTCAAGGCCAGCCTAGGTTGCATAACAAGGCCCTGTCTCAAAAAAACAAAAGTCCAGAAAAATAGAGCCAAGTCTGCTTATTGATATATTAACAATAAACCACTCAGGATTAAAATGTTGTAACACTACCTCATTCTTTATTTCCAGGTAATTCTAAAAGAAGTGTAAAGATGAAAAGCCTAGAAAACATTAGACGTGTGAGGAGGATGGGCACTGTACACACCCATCCTATGTCTTAGTACCGTCACACTTTTTTTCCCTTCGACTATTGAGGAAATGACCTGGGGAAGTTCAGGCGCAGAGCTGAAATCTGATGCAAAATCCCTAAAGCTTGTGCTTTTGTGAGTGGGGAAGGGTAGGGCTTACGGATTTGGTTACATAAAAATCTTCCTTTTTTTGTTGTTTTTGTTTTGTTTTTTTGTTTTTCTCCGGTACTGGGAATCGAACTCACAACCTTGCACTTGCCAGGCAGGCGCTGTGCCGCTGAGCTAAATCCCCAGCCCCAGTTACATAGAAGTCTTAAACCACGCAGCAAAAATCATAATTAAATATTGGTAAACTAATAAAAGTTACTTGGAAGAGAGTTGTGTAATATGTATCTAGAGATTTTAAAATAAGCATACGTTTTCAGCAGTTCTACTTCCAGGGTTCGTGGGGGTAATGAGCTTGTATATAGCAACATTTATATAATGTTTACACTGGTAAAAATCAAAACCGCTTACCCATTAAACAGTGGGTTGGCAAAATGACAACTGCTGTGGGAGAGTAAACGTGCACATGTTACTTTTTCATGGGCCACACATTCTTTATATGATACATGAGTTTATATGCTACATGAGTTTATATGTTACATGAGTGCTATGAGTCATAGCACATGAGTTTTATAAAGAAAAGTGTATGTAAATCATCTTGAGCCCAGAAATCCTGCTCTACAGTTTTTGCCCTAGGAATATGTCATAATTTACATACTGGCAAGCATGTACATATTGGAAATAACCTAGAAATCCCATGTGGGGGTTAAATTATGGTGTAGCATCCTGGCTCACCTGTCTCAGAACGTTAGCAACACTAGTCTGTGAGCTCCTTTTCCCCATTTTTATAATACACTTGCATTTTCTTGAAAATTAAAACAGTTGCACAAATGAAAGAATACTCATCTCTGGGTGAATGTAAGATGTCCCAAATCTGACAGCATGACTAAACTCTATCACTTATGTTGACTGTAACACTATATTTTCCTCTGATGAGGTTTAAGGAGTAGCACTTTGATTAAATGTCCTGCCTTTATACTTAGCATCTGTGAATCCATCTCACATAATAAAACTAGAAAATTTATGTGCAAGAAGCCAGAACTGCTATTCTAAGGAAGAGTGAAGATACAGTCCTAAATCCAGATAGCTGCAAAATGTATTGCTTCTTTAAAATAACAGCCAGAAGCCAGGCATGGTGGTGCACGCCTGTAGTCCCAGCACTCTGGAGACTGAGGCAGGAGGAGGATCGTTGCAAGTTCGAGACCAGCCTGGGCTACAAAGTGAGCTCAAGGCCAACCTGAACTGCATAACGAGACTGTCTCAAAAAGACAAAAAATAAATAACAACCAGGTGTGGTGGCACACACCTGTAATCCTAGCTGAAGCAGGGAGATTGCTGTGAATTGTCCAGTCTGGGCTGCAAGCCTACCTGAACTATACCGTGAGACCCTGTCTCAAAAAAAAAACCGTGAAACCATGAAGCAGCCAAGACCTGAATTACACAACGTAGTGAATCGCTGCATTGTAACTAATCCAGGTAGCATTCTGCCTGCTGGTTCCCCTTGAAGGAGGTGTAGACAGTACTAAGAGTATTTAATTGAGAATATAACCGGTCTGACCTCAGTGCTGCCGTTACATTCATTGTACTGGTTTTCTGTGCTGGTAAGTGACCTGTTGCGCAGGTCGGGGGTGTAACAGGAGCGAGGCTCTGGCCTTGGGCCGCTTGCATTAAGCGCAGTACCGCTGTTCTCTCCCCCAGGATGTTGCTGCTGAGTGTGAAGTCAAATGCATGCCGACCTTCCAGTTCTTTAAAAAGGGTGAGAAGGTACGTGCGCCTGGCCTTGGAAGCTCACTGGGCCAAAGGCGAGCTCGTGTTATATGTAAATGAAGAAACAGTTGAATTGCTCATCCCTTCACAATATCAAGCATGTTGCGATTTTCTGCCTTCAAGAAAAGTTTCAGCGGTTGTGCTGGGACCTGCACTCTAGGAGACTGAAACGGGAGGATCAAAAGTTCTAACCCAGCCTCGGCAACTTAGTGAGACCCTGTTTGAAAATACAAAAAGGACTGGAGATGTAGCTCAGTGCAGAGTCCCTGGGTTATATCCCAGAAATGAAAAAAAAAAAAAAAGAAAAAAAAATTGAATATATCATTTTTTTCTTGATTTAAGCACATAATGTGATACCTACTTGAAAACTGACCTTTCAACTGGGCATGATGGTGCCTGCCTGTAATCCCTGCTGAGGCAGGAGGTTTGCTGTGAGTTTGAGGCCAACCTTGAACTCAAGGTCAGCCTGAACTGCATAGTAAGATCCTTGGACGGGGAGGCAGGGAGCCAGGCGTGGTGGCACGTGCCCGTAATCCCAGCACTCCAGCACTCTGGAGGCTGAGGCAGGAGTTTCATTGCCCGTGCTCAAGGCCAGCCTGGGCTAGAAAGTGAGCTCAAGACCAGCCTGAACTGCATAGCAAGACCCTGTCTCAAAAAGACAAAAAAAGAAAAGAAAAAATTGATGTTTTTAGAACTAGACACTAAGTCCCTGTGATCGATGCTTCATGTTTAAGTATACAGGATTTCTTAAACTTGGATAGATCATTTAACATTGTGAGGAAGTATTTGTAGTAAAATTTTAAATTGTACTTGAGGCTATTGACTTTTCTCAAAGTTTTTTCAGTTTGTTTTCTAATGTGTGTTAATCTGGGAAGTTCATTTTAAATACAATTATGCTTTCCTCCCATTTCTGTGATCATATCTTTTAAAAAGGTGGTTCATTGCTGTATCTAATGCCTATGCAATATTCTCTTAACAGGTGAGTGAGTTCTCTGGCGCTAATAAGGAAAAGCTTGAAGCCACCATTAATGAATTAATCTAATTGTGTTTTCTGAAGAATGTAACCTGCTATCGGCTGTTTAAAACTTAATTTTTTTTATTTACAAAAAAAATATGAAGTATGGAAACTATATACCCAACTGCCATCTGATTATAAATGACAATAAAATATTAATTCTACCCTTTTTAAAACTGTCTGGTGTCTGAGTAGCTTTCAGAATAAATGAGAAAAGGCCATTTATTGTCATAATTATTTTTATGTATTCTTTAACGTTTTAGTAGCCTTGTGTCCATTGAATGTCATAAGATTTTTCAAAATTATTACTATCTTAATGTGTTCGTAGTGAAGTGTCTTGTTATCAGCAGTGTAGGTAAGAGTAGTATATTGAAAAAATTTTTAACCTTAATGAATTGAAAGATAATACAATACTGTCTTCTAGCAGGTAAATTCATTCTGTTTTTGTTTGTTTTGTTTTGTTTTGTTTTGTTTCTCCGGTACCAGGAACCGAACTCACGACCTTGCGCTTGCCAGGCAGGCGCTTTTGCCGCTGAGCTAAATCCCCAGCCCCGGTAAATTCATTCTGTAGGAATATAATCAGCAAGACCATCACTGATGTCTACTGATGGAATTGTTTAAGATTCCTGTGCTGAAGGTCACACCAACTGCCGATTTCCTTAATGATTACAGAATCCACTTGTGTCAGTTAGAAATTGTCCTTTTGCAAGAGGCTCGCCCCAAATATTACCATGGGGATTTTGACTATCATAGTCTAATAAAGCTGGTTAGAAGTTCCAACCTGAATGGTAAATGTGTGGAAAGAACCAGTTATTCAGATTGTTTCTTGCGTTCTAGATACAGCAAGTCTGCTTAAAGAAAGTGTTCAAGTTTAATGAAAATCGTAGAATCATATACTGAGCATCCTCAAGCTGTTAGTTTAATCTTTGTAACAGTCTTTGGTGTAGATGCTGTAATCTCCAGATACTAGTGAGGACACAGACAGAGGTCAAGAACCAGCGTCACGTTGAGCCAATGGGGAAGCCGGGATTTGAATGACAGATGCTTACCTGTGTTTCTACCTGGTCTAAAGTCAGGGTGATGAATTCAGACGTCTTATAACTACTGAGTGAATGCCTGTTAGGCACCAAGCACTGTGCCACTGGGGTATAACTGAATAAGGTCCCTTTTCCTCTTAGAGTTTGCATGCCAGTGGGGGAAGAGAAATTAGTGACTAACGGGCTGGTATATCCGCTGCAAAAAGAAGCGAAAGGCCAGGCACAGTAAGTGAGAATAATGAGACCTGCTTTGGGTCAGGTGGTTGTATGGTTCTGTGAGGTCACTGAGCTGAAACTTGGTAGATGAGAAGGACTCTGGGACTCGCTAGGAGCCAGGGAGTCGGCTTTCCAGGTGAGAACAGAAAGGGCAAAGGCAGCCTGCAGGTCCGGTCATCCGCGTCCTTTCCTATTCTAGAAGTGATGAGAAGCCATTGAAAGGAATTGCACGCTTTGATATTAGGAGCTCAATTTGGCAGCTACGGGAAGCCTGTTAGAATTTTAGTTACTGAGGACATAGGTTGATGGCGGTGATTACAGAGGCACTGGGAAAGTGGTAGAGATAGAACAAAGAATTGGGAGTCCATATCTCTAAGAATGTTAAGCTAGATGCTTCCAAGGTGTATGTTCAAATGAAGATGCTGTGCAGGCGACGGTACAAGAATAGAGCTAAAAAAAAAAAAAAAAAAAGAATAGAGCTCAAGGGGTAGGAGTGGACTGCGATAGGAATTGGGAGGACACTGTCACAGATGGCATTTAGGAATATGTGAGAACGTCTAGGAAGACAACCCAGGCTGGAGAGCATTCAGGACAGTCTGGTGAACTCCCAGTGTGCAGAGATCGAGTAGGGTAGGAACCACCAAAGGAGATTTATGAGTGGTCAGAGTGGAGGGCAGCCAAAACAGAGTTTATCCTGGCAGCACACAGCACAGCATTCCAGGAAAGAATCTTGAGGGGCCGGGGATATAGCCGCACAAGTGCCTCCCTGGCAAGGGGAAGGTCCTGAGTTTGATTCCCAGTACCAAAAAAAAAAGAGAATCTGTGAGTTACCAAAACACTGCTGACAGCCTAGGAAAGGTGAGGACCAGAACACAAAATGGGAGGTTGGTGACCATAACAAAAATTCGTATGGAGCTGGACGTGGTAGTGCATGCCTGTAATCCCAGCACTCGAGGTTGAGGCAGGAGGATTGTTGTGAGTTTGAGACCAGCTTGGGCTACAAAGTTAGCTCAAGGCCATCCTGAACTGAATAGGATGACCCTGTCTCAAAAAAAAAAAGAAAAAACAATTACATATATATTATTATTATAATATATATTCTATTATGTATTATTATTATATATATATTATGTAAAGGAGTTCATTAGATAGATAGTCTTACAGGATCTGAGGTGGGATAGACCACGTTGACTGCATACCAGAGAGCTGGAGGATCTAGTGTCTTCCCAACCCAAGAAGCTAAAGCCTTAGAACAAAAGGAATCCAGGATGCAGTGCCAACCTGTGACTGAAGGCCTGGAAGCCACCAAGTTCTGTTAAGCCTTGGTTGTGACCTTGTTTGTTACACAGCGCTATGTAACTGATACAAGGGCAGTGGTATTTGTTTGCCATCCATATAGGAGATGGACTTACGTACCTTGGAGCATTACAAGTGTGAGTCTGCATTGAAAGTCCAAAGAAGCGAGCATCTCATGTCCACAGCAGGTGGCAGTGCCAAAAAAGACACACACTCAAGCAGAGTGGAGCTTTCCAAATGGATACCAACTCCCTCCTCCTGCCTCTTTCATTCTGCCCAGGCTGCAAGCCTATTGGATGATGCTACCTACAATCAGGGTGGGTCTTCCCCACTCAATTTGCTGGCCTACATGCCAGTCAGCTGCTGACACACACCCACAGACACACCCAAAAGTAGTCAAATCAACGATCATAAATAATGGTCACAAAACATGACACCTATGGGCTGGGGATTTAGCTCAGTGGCACAGCGCCTGCCTGGCAAGTGCAAGGTCGTGAGTTTGACTCCTGGTAACAGAAGAAAAACAAAACATGACACCTGTTTTGGAGGTAAAGCTGCAGCATTATGTAATTACCAAGAGGCATTAATACATAGATGAAAAGTTGAGAATTCTCCAGAATGAACGGAGTGTGGTGGCACACTTGTAATCCTAGCACTCTGGGAAGCTGAGGCAGGAGGATCATTGCCTGAGTTCAAGAGAAGCCTGGGCTACAAAGTGAGCTCAAAGCCATCCTGAACAGTTTGGCGAGACCCTTTCTCAAAAAAAGGAAAAAAAAAAAAAAGAATTCTCCAGAATGATATATATCCCAATGAAATACGTGTAATATGTGTATTTGTTCAGTGAAAGAATGAGCCTTTGTAAAACCAACAAAAGCATGGTCAGGTCAGTATCCAAAGAAGTTCTGTAAGCCTTGGTTGTGACCTTGTTTGTTACACAGCGCTATGTAACTGATACAACGGCAGTGGTATTTGGTTGCCATCCATATAGGAGATGGACTTACAAACTTCAGAATGCAGTGAGGAATAGAGCAGAAGGAACAGTACGTAGGGTGAAAGAACATTTCCTTAACTGTTCCACTTTTTGTTCTTGGCCTAAAATGCAGTTTACTCTTGTATCAAAAAGTAGTGTCCTAAAAAAAAAAAAAAAAGTAGTGTCCTGTAATGGAGGAGAATCCATTCTCATGCTTTTCTTTGTGTTTCAGTTCTTGGTTGCTAGGAATCCACAGGCTGAAGTAATGTAATGTACTCACATCTGAGAAGCATGCTGCCATGTTACAAAAGAAAAAGCATACTCACAAATCTGTATAGAAATATACAGGCCTGGGTATAACAGGTGAAATTTGGTACTAATTATAATTCTTAACGTTGACAAGTACATGGACATTGAATACTAGAATTGAGTAGCTTTACTTTTTATAAAAAAAATTTAATAAGTTTTAACTAATGTTTTACAAGTATGACTGGGCGTGGTGGCACACACCTGTAATCCCAGCACTTGGGAGGCTGAGGCAGGAGGATCACTGCGAGTTCGAGACCAGCTGGGGCTACAAAGTGAGCTCAAGGCCAGCCTGAACTGCATAGCAAGACCCTGTCTCAAAAAAAAAAAAAAAATTAATATTTTACAAGTTAAAAACTTTCACATGAATTATATATATATATATGTATGTGTATGTATATGTATAAATGCCTATAATCCCAGCACTTGGAATCAGGATCACTGTGAATTCTTAATCCATTGCATCTATAAAATGAGTGTAAGTCAAAAATCATAATAAAAATAGGCAATGTGAACAGAAAGCTCAAGAGAGAACACAGCTGAAAAGAAAAAGATAGAAAAATTTCAAAAAAGGCTATTTTTGCCAGGTGTGGCAGTGCACACCTATACTCCCAGCACTTGGGAGGTTGAAGCTAGAGGATCACCAAGAGTTCGAGGCCAGTCTGGGCCACATAGTGAATTCAAGGCCAGCCTGCACTAGTGAGACCCTGTCTCAAAAAAAAAACAAGATATTTTGATACTGAGCATAACCCATGTCAAATTAGAAATATGGCATTACAAAGGATTAATGAAGATATAATTACAGTACTTAAAGAAAATAATGAAAAGGAACAAGATAGTCATTCTTATAAAATCCACAATTTGAACTTCAAATCAGATTAAAACCTTGAAACTTCATATTATTTGCTAAATGATCCTTTAGCTGCTGTTTAAAACATGGACATTGGAAAGAACTATTCAGATCACATGCATAATTCAGAAGCACAAAATGTAATTCTAGGATGCACCTTGCAAGATATCATACTCATGAAATCAGCAAACTGGGCAGAAAGAACAAACCCCCGGAGTGGTACAATGTTATGCTTGCTGGATGGTCACCCTGGAGGGCGACCCTGAACCTTTGGACAGTATGTGATTATTTCTAACAAAAGATAATTTTTTCAAATTCATAATGATTTTCCATTGGATAAACAAAATAAAAATTATAGTATGTAACGCCAAGTTTTCCTCCCAAAAGTGCCTTTTTATGCTGATATTTTGAGAAGTGGCACATTACGGCCCCTGAGGAGACTGGTTTTCCTAGGTGAGTCAGTTTCTGTACATGGTAGAGCGTTTACCTGTGAGCTGTCTT